ATCGCCTTTCGAATGAAATTCATTGTAGCCTTCGGCGAGTTTTATGGACTTTAGTCACCCGCAAAATTCAAGGGTTTTTGATTATCGGTTTTGGCAAAGCTTCGAGAAATTGAAAAAAGTTTTGCGCAAAGAATCCAATACAACTTCAGATTTTTAAGGACGTTGAATTCTGTTGAAACATTCAACGATTTATTTTCAACACTGATCAAGTTGCAGGTTAAATTTTTTATTATTTGTAGCATCTGCGAAATATTTTTCTTCGTTCTGTCGTCAAAGTAGAAATTGCATTTTTATGAAATTTTGTTGAGTTTTTAAAAATTTGCGCAAAAATCGATATGATATTAGATTATTATTATTATGTATATGTAATTTCTCGACAGTTTATTATAAAAGATATAATTAACGCCGAACTATTGACCTTTGCCGAATAATAGAGTATGCTGAACTTGCGAGATTTCAAAGGTCACTTAACGCGCCTGCAAACGATAAACGAGCTGCTCGCTAGCCAGTAAAGTAGGTGATAACCTTTTTCTAGGCCACAGGCTACATCTTTTTTATCTTCATCTATTCGTAGCAGCTATTCGCATCACTCGAAAAAAAACTGCGAAAAAAGGGGAAAAAAGCACGTATTAAAGAGCACTTAGTAACGCTTATGCAATGAGACGCTATTGTCTGAAAAGCTCCGCAATTAATCAATTATCTTACGCGCGCGCGACATTATAGTTGAAAGCTATTTTAAAAGAGGCATCCGTGGCTTCTCTTATTTATAAAAACATTTGGTATCGCAGTAAACTAATGCGACGTGAAAGATTGATCGGTGATATTTTTTCACAACCATAACTCAAGTTTATATTGAATATACGAACCTTGATATATTTTCTGCGAGTGCGCTTGACGTTCTACGAATGCGAATTGGAAAATAGAAAGATTCCGTAAATTTTGAGAGGAAGTGAAACGTTTTCAACAGATTTTCAATAATTTTATTTCTATACAATATCTGGCGCGCGCGCGCTTAAGAGGATTGATGCGTATCTGTAGATATAGATGGCGCGATTGAAGAAAGTAATTTTTCACCGTGGAATCGTCGCTTCGAAATGATCGGAAAGGTGTCGAAAAAGTCTGATTTAAAGTCTAAATTAAATTTCATGACGGGGCGACGAACTTTTTGCTGTCGACAGCAACTACTGTTACAAGCACGCAGCGCGCACGGATGTTCGTATTCGCGGTTACGCCAAAATGCGCAAGAAAATATGAACGTTCATCATTCGAACGGAACCGGAAACCCATGCGGATATATCCCCGGTACGGATTCTGCTGAGTGAGGGGCGGATATGGGTGGGCAGAAGGGAGAGTTGCTTAAATCTGCGGAGTTAGGACAGGACTTACCGCCAAGACGCGGCTCGCAAATGGCGTTCAAATTAATTTCAACAAAGTTCGTAAATTATTAATACCCGCCGGGCCGGCGCGGCGGCTGCTGACTCGCTTGTTCCCGGCTAAATGTGCTGTTTAATTAGGAAATCCGCGATTGTGGTAAGACGGGGATTGTCAACGGTTTTACGTTACATTGCAGGCCACCATGGAGCCTTTCCGTGCGCTGACCGCCTGCCACGCAGGTGGATTGCGAATATATCTCGCACCCACCAGTGAAACGAGCTTAAAACTATTCCGACAATGCCATGCAACACGGCGTATCACTGTGCATTGCGCCCACGCGCAATTACGCGACACGGTGCGAAAGTTTGTAAAACAGCTAGGTCTCACGTGAGATCGTCACCGTAGAAGTAATGGTTTTGAGAATTCTTTTTTCGCGACTAAAACGACTGCAGCGTGAAATTGCGCCACACTAAATTAAAGCGTTAATCGCGGCATTTTGCAGATTATCAGGGCGCGACTGACTTTTAGATTACCGTCGTAACTTGTACGAAAGTTTGACAGAAAAATTTGAACAATATCATTTTCTCTCCTCATACATAATATATGATAGTTTACATAAGCAACGGTCGCTATTCTAAAAACTGTCGATTGCCAATCTCACCGGAATAGCCACGTCTGACAGCACGATATTCTCGCCAGTATAGAAATTGATCGCCGTAAGTGAATTCGTTTCCCAAATATAACGGGAGACGTAGTCGGAATACTTGGTGACTCTAAGAATTTTGAGAGGACGGCTCATGAATGCAAATTAAAACGCTTTGCCGCTTCTATCGCGCATCTCTTTCTTGGTGCCTAGCCTTTCCCGGTGTTATTTGGCTACCCTTTCAAACGAAGTCGATACTCGCAGCGAATGATGCTTAAATAAAACGTAGTACACACACACACACACACACACACACATTTATATATAAACATATTCGTATACAGAATATAAATTATAATCTTAAATCCTTAAAGCCGCCATAAATCTGTAGATTAATTAATGAAAAGACAATTGTGTTGGTGTACGTTAAATAATTAACTTACACCAACGCTGAGTTTCACAAAATTAATGTATTTTTAATCGAATACCGTTAAACACGGTCAACAATCGCTTCGCCCTGTAAAGCCGTTGCATACTATTTTCACGACATTAGATGCCCGCAAAATCGTAATGTCCGCTTTTGCCTTTTGCTTTCTTTATTTTTGCGGCGTGCGCATTCTCCTGAGTTTCTCCGCAGATATATAGGGCACAACGCAATGCTCAACAATAAGAAAGCTTTAGACGGCAGTGGCCATTACGGCACAGCATAATGCACATTTCCAGTCCGACATTTCCAATAATATGCCGTTGAAGTGAAAATTATGCATTGACGGAACGACCAAGAAACGGTAGAGAAAATTAATGGAAGATGCAATTTTTCCAACGAGAAAAATAAATATATTAGTATTGAATGTGACACCACGCTGTTATTCGAACGAACGTTCACGTCGTTTCAAATATTCAGCCGAGATTTAGGTGTATTTCCTTAACATATGTCACGTACATTACCGTAGACATAAGTCTCAAAGCGGAAATCGAGCTAAAAATGACGCTAAAAGAACTGAATGAAAAAGGAGGAGCTTGAACACAGCGCGAACGATATTTCCAATATTCTCGTAGCAACGTAAAGTTTGCTATAACGCAAAGTTCGAGATAAGTACGCTTCTGATAAAAACACTCATACAACATTCATAACTGACGACGACGCGACGCATTGATACCTCGCGCCTTTCCAGTTTCAGTGCATCCAAGTCCTTTGTATCAATGCCTTTCCCTCTCAAGCGCAATCGTTAAAAGCGCGCTACACCAGAACTGATACAAATATCCTTTCTCGTTAGCTCAAAGAATCTCAAATATATAATATGTTCGTGTACACACACACACATACACACACACACACACACACGCATGTATAACATGGTATGTTATAGATATAGCCTGGTCTAACATTATATATATATATTTGAATCCACGAAGGTCGTTAAGGTAGCTATCCGGCCAAGATATTACGTTACTTTTTCCAAACTCGATAAAAGCCATTGTTGGCCTCGTGTCGACGGCTTTGAGTCGCGAGATCGCAGCAATGGTGACCCTGGCCAAATGACAGTTTTATCGAATTTCTTCGTATCCTGGATACAAACACGTATCGAAACGTGTGTATTGCACAGCGAAGCGATGAATTACGAGATAGCCCTGTATTCAACGATGCATTATTGCATCCCTAAACCAGCTTTTCGGCATTCCGATTATACGCATCGTATAGCAATATTAATTACCACTGGCCAGTTTCTAAACCAAGTCAACAGTAAGTTAACAGTGTACGAGATTGGCTCGTGTGAGCGATTTGTTTAGGAAAATAATGCCCAATAATTATGGTAGCTATGATTGTAACGAAGAAATGTTTAGCTGTATATCTCAGTTATGTACTTTTTCATCATGATTTGTGTGTGCGTGTGTGTGTGTGTGTGTGTGTGTGTGTGTGTGTGTGTGTGTGTGTGTGTGTACATAAAGCGTGGACTCTCGTACGTAATACACAATTTCATATTTTTGAACATGCAGCGTAATAACTAGGAATTTTACAATCATATTGCGGAACGCTAATGGTTTACGCACGGATAGATAGTGCACTGTTTACTGCGAGAGAGAACTCGCGTGGGAGAAACGTGGAAAATATATTCACGAGAAAATATACAAGTACGCATGCCCACGCGTTCGTAACGCCAGGGGTTGCCTAATGACGGCATTTCTTCGGAAGATTCATCTTGCGAAGCGTACCTCAGCGATTCTGGCGTTAAATTACGGAAAGATTAATAACTGTCGGGAAGATTAAAGCGTAGAGACTCGAAACGAATATGCGCTACAATCGCGGTGCCGTTATACGGCAAAGCGGGTTAAGATATTTATCACATTAAATAATTTCATACCTTCCTTCTTGTGAGACTCGTTCAATCTTAACGCTATGCGAATAGTGCAGACGCGTAAGGACGGTGAACTGTCAAAAGAAATGCGACAAGACTAGAAACATGAATATTTTTTATATTACAATTTTAATTTATTTGGTAACAAATAGACGGTCCTAAAATTATTTGTCTAATACAAATATAGAGTTTTTTAATATATGTTATTATACTTTTTATGCTTTCAATGAGCAGGATTAAAAAAAATTTGTCGTATATTTTAATTTGGAATATTTTATTTTCGCTAATAGAACTAATAAATATGCGTCATGATTATTATCATACTTTTGTAGTCTTTGCGTAATTTTTATGCAACGTGTCCTCATGATACAGCAGAGCCAGTGCTCGTTTGCATATTATAGCAGGCGTCGATGCGCAAGCACTTGTAATTAAAACACGAAATATTCATAATTTAATTCGTACAACGTATCTTTCAGTACAAAAAGATGAAGGAAGCTGTCGCGTAATTTAATTGGCCTTTTTTTCTTCCTTTAGCTGTGCGTCAATTAATTACTTTCGTTACATTCCTTTTTTATTCGTCGAGACTGTTGCTACTCATTAAGTCACCGTGCGTCTCTTTGTTACAGCATCGCTCTGCGACGTGGTTTACAACAGCGATTCAACAAAAACGGGCGTAGTTATGTCACCTGGATATCCGAATCCATATCCATCCAGGACACATTGTACATACGACTTCCAAGGAAGAGGAAAGGAACGGGTGCAGGTGGTGTTTCAGGACTTGAATCTGTTTCATTCCAAGCCAAGCAATCCAAATGAGTAAGTTTCTCATATCTTCTAATCTTTTTCTAATTATTAAATACAAATATCGACGTAATCGAGATATACTTAATGTATAATTCCACTGCTAAACTATATCCGTTGTACAGATATATCTTTATTCGAAAAATATCTGTATTTTTGTGAGATGCAAACTTGTCCGGTTGCGCAATCGATTTGAACGTCGTGCATCTACACAGTACTGTGTTTTCACGAGCACATGCGACATTATTGCATTTAGTAGCAGTAGTAGTAACTCTTACGATACGTATGATTGTACCTAGAACCTTCAGTGCATTCTTACACAAAAGATGCTATCAGATACATTATGTATTTGCACGCACATAATAGACTTCGTTCGCTCTGTCTTCAAACCGCTGCATCAGAGTACGATAAGTGCAACCTCAAAATTTCATGAGAAACGCTTCGTTGTAAGCTGGCCTAAGAATAAGGCCGGTACCTACTGCTTTATCTTTATACTTTAACGTGTTATTGCTTTGTACCATTTGCTTTTGAAAATTGTGCGATGTCGAAAGTGTGGAGAAACCATAGTTCCAATTTAGCAAATGCAGTAAAATTGTTGCCTTGAAGATTTTCAAATTCTTCTGGCACGTTTACGCACATCGCGTTTTCCTCCCTTCCAGGTCAGTACCCATTCGCTTAAACTCGCCCATTCGTATACGTAAAATTGCATTGTCACTTTACCAGTGCAAGAAATTTTATTTCAATCCGACAAAAGATTCTTATCCTCAAAAATCTGACCAAGGATTTCGAGGATACTTCCGAGTTCCAAGCAGCAGAGATCGATCGAGAGCGTTTCCTCTAACGTAGAGATTGAAGGAAGGACCTGTCGTCATGGCCGAGAGGAGACAGATCAGCATAGGAAATCCCGGGAAACCGCTGCGATACAACCGCTGCGGGTTTCCCGACAATTGCACTCGCTACGATCACTTATCCTCTCATTCATTTTCCACATGGCTAATCTTAAACACGATTTAATTAGGGTTTCGTGCCATTGAAACTGACATTTAAGTGCTACTTTCCTTGCTTCATAATCGTCTGCTACTGCATTCCACGGTGATCATAAGAGCTTCTTCATTTTTGAAATGATAGTTGTTATTAAATAAATTCCGAGAATTACAATATAATACGTGAATAATCTGACTGTCATAACGTGTTGTTTTTTTCTTTACGATAACGTGTAAAACGGCAAAATTTTAAATAAGTTTACACACATTATTAATATAATTGAAATTATTCTTAATTAATGCATACATATACAAGCTTTCCAAAAAAAAAATAATACTTTAAGAATGCAATAATCATTATTATAATGCATTATATTTTATATTATTTCACGAAAATACATCACGTCAAAGTAGCGCAAGCATTACTGTTTCCCGTTATCGTATTTGTTCGTATTTAAGAAACAGGACGTTTCGTAATATCTATTCATGATGCACGTAAAAAACATGGGTGCATTCAAATGCTAAGGTGATTTCTTTTGAATAGAACGTCGGAGAGCAACCGCGTCATCTGATTTTCCTGCCCAGTTTCCTTCCAATCATCCGAGTAGATTGGTCGAAATTTTCCTCCGAGCACATGGTCGCGCGCATTCATGCAGTAACGCCACACAAATTTGCTCATGTACGAAATCACTGCACATGATCATACACGTAGGCCTGCTTGTGCATGGGCAAATAATATTCTTTATTGTGCGTTATATTGGTTCTCTCTCGCTATGTCTTGCGAATCGTAAATTGGCTGGTTAAAAGCCATCCATTGTGGATTATGCCCGCAGGACAATTGCATAATTATGATACAGTAAACCACGGCACGTTGAGTTCAAATAGGAGGAGTATAATAGGAATGCTCAAACGCTAAGCACAGCAAGGGAATGAGGCTACTTTTATGCGAAAATGAGTTTAACGTGATTATTTTTTTAAAGCTTGCCATATCAGCCTGTCAAAAAAAAGAGTAGATATTTTCTACCCTTTCACGTTCAACAATTCACAAAAGTTTTATAATTATATACTTGACATAAACTGCGTATAGACCGTGTGTTCAAAATATACTTTTGAAAGTTGTTTTCTTCACTCGAAATATATCTCTTGTTGAGCGTGTATAACTTTGCAACATTACGATTACTTTGATAAGTCTTTTATCAAATTTGTAATTAGATCAAATTTAAATACATTTCAGAGAAAGAAAGAGAGAGAAAATATGAGAAATCAGTAGCACAATTTATACTGCATAGTAGCTTTACCAACGTAATTTTCATTATTTTTAAAAAAATTTTTTGCCAAGTAGCATATTTGTTGATAAATGCATTGCAGACTCTAGTCCACTCAATTATTTAGTCCAGCAGTAGCAAACATAAAAATACTCAATTAAAAAAGCTGCATTTTTATTTTCATATAAAAAATTCATATAAAAAACTTTTATTACTTTACTGTATATTTAACAATTATTGTAAAGATGTTTATTTTGAATATAAGACTAATACCTCCATCTCAATAAGCATGATATGTGTAACAAGCAAAAGTAATTATTTTATGAATCGATCACAATCCTCTGACCGCAATTATTTGATATTATCCAACTCGGCAAACAGATTGCAATGGATAATTTTTCGCAATGGACGACAGCGAGTTCTCGTGTCAAGAGTTTTTGAAACGAAAGTCCAGACTCGAGAATGTCAACTCGGTGTCGAGTTATCGTTCAAAGTTCGCTAGCGGCGCGCGGCGTCGTAAGCACGGAATATAAAATTGGACAACGTGCAACGTGTTGCAGTACACGCTCCAGTGCGCGTACCGGGACAAATACATCTTGATTCCTGTTCCTTGTGTTCTAACGGGACGTGAAATCAGAAATGGAAATACGAGTCCCCCCGGTAGCGGAGCGTCTTTTGTCGAGGAAATGAAAAGTTTTTCCTATCGAATATTGTTTCGTGACGCGTAACGAAGGCTGCACGTCACAGCAACGCTAACACAACTGCACAGCGTTGTGAGGCAGTTATCGTTCAACAACTTTTTAAATTAAATGATTAACGTCGTGAGAGATGTTGCAATGAGAGACGCTATTTTATTAAAAATAATCCAACGATCATAAAATTCGGAATATGCAGATTTTTTTTTTAAATCAAATTTTTATATTTTCGCTCTTTCACTATTCGATACCATTATATAGAATATTACATGATAAACTGCTCGTGCAAGAGGCAGAGAGATACTTTATCTGCAATTATTGTAATTATTGAAATTATATGAAAATTGTTGGCTATCCGCAATAATTATCGCGCTCGAAAGTATCAAATTTTGGTTACTACGTTCAACCGCAGATATATGTTCGAAATGTATAAAATAATTAATTTTGCAAGTATTATATATACCTACATATATATAATATATGTGTATAAAATGACACCCAAGGAACATACATTATAAGTAAATTACTTTTATTACAGTTGCGAAGGGGTCGATTCATTGGTGGCATACGTGCATATAGATGGAAAGAAGGACAAAATAGATTCGTTCTGCGGAGATACACCACCGCGACCTATCATGAGCAACGGTCCGCGACTTTCCTTGGAGTTTCAGGGAGTAACATCATCTCGCCATTCGAGAGGCTTTAAAGCGACATACACTTTCATGGAAAGTAAGTGTTTAACGTATAGATTTTAACAATAAGTTCGATTCTTGCGCGTGTCTGTACAATGAAATAACGATGGAGTGAGAAAAGGTTCTATCTCTCCTCGCGCACAATTCAAAGCGAATCTTCTAAGTACAATAGAAATCTTCCATTCGTCCAAGACGCGCGTAGATTTACACGTATATTGTCTTCCCGTAAATCGATTGGAAATGTTCCGGTCCAGATGGACGACGGGTATCATCGAGAATAACTTATCGACGTGGAACGTGTTCGCGGCGCAAGATCAGGTCATGACGTACGATCTTATATATTCGTGGATGGGGCACAGAGCCGTATTCCGGGCTTTTCTCCTATGTCCCGTCAAAATTTCAATTTCCGCTGAGCATTCTATCGCGATAGCAATGCGTCTCGCCGCGTTTCGCCGTTTATCACCCACAGGTGAGCTCGGATTGTAGTGCACGCGCTAGGCGGGCATCCCGGTAGCGGAACAAATGGATCGCGAAGTGCGTTCATCTTGGCGAGAATCATTCGGGATGTACCTTAAGAAAGTCGGGGAGTGCATCGCGAGGCTGTATCGGTGAAAGTTAAGGCGGGACACACGAGCATGGAGAAACGGAGGCAGACAATCTGTCTCAAATATCAAGCAGGTGAAGGCCGTGAAGGGGTACAACTTTGCCGTGCCGTCAGTTAAGGGATGAATATCGCTCGATTATACCGAGTATTTTATCGTCCTCCGACTACCATCGAGCAGAGTCGAAAGTTCGCGCGCTATCGCATAATTGAAACGCGGCAAAATGGATCCTGACCTATTTTGCAACGGTGGAAAGAGATACGGCGGCAAAGTTCCGGCAAAGTCGCTCCGCGGCTCCGTATTATGAATGTTAACGGCAAGTTTGAGTTTAATTTTTACGAGCGGGACGTTACTATACCCCTTCCCCGCACCTTCGCGCACCTCTCTCGCTCCCCCCCCCCCTCTCTTCTCCGTCTTTGAAACTTCGCGGCTGAATTATCGCGCTAAGGGATGCGGGTACGTTCTTCGGGGCCCACATAAATAGACTTCGGAGGATCCTCGAAAAAGACGGGGTCGTTCTCGCAAATCGAAGTAGGCATTCGGCAATCGAACTGGAACGGACACCAGAGAAGAAGAGATTCGCAATCGCGCTCCCTCCCTTCTTGCAGGAAACCAGACGCGGGTCTCACTCCCGAACTGTCACAAGCACAACGATGTTCTCGACGACGAATCGATATGACGCATTTTAGAAAGGACCCGCCGGTCCTGCAGGAATAACATTCTACGCGTTGACTAGGACATTTCCTTGGGGAAGGCTGATGTCATTGTCAGACTGATATGTGCGTGTCAACCGAGTCGCGTGATACATTTTCCCTATGCGGCGTCTATACATATACATGTATATATATCTTTACTCACGCTTGAAACTAGTAATTATGACATCGTTACAGGGAGGGGAGAGAAAGAGAGAGAGAGAGAGAAGTCACAACATCCAGCAGACAAATTTCTCGCTCTTCGTCGTTATAATCGACGTCACGACGACAATGGCAGGCGGATAATCGCGAATTACGTCGTAACGACAAACACGCCATTGTAAACGCGAAGGACGCGAGATTTATGACGTCTACTCGGTGTAACCCGCCCTTCTTGCAATTAGTCCCGTCTTCCGCCACGATGGTAAATTAGACTCTTTCTCTCTCTCTCTCTCTCTCAGTCTAAAAAACGAGTCTGTGTCTCTCGGCGCAAACGCTTTGGACGCCGATCTATTTTCCGCGAAAATCTATTTTCCTCTCTATTTTCGATCGTTGATCGTACTGTAGACATTTCTTGCAGACGAGACGCACCGCTATCGTTTAGACGGTGTCGCGTCAAACCACGTTTCTCGCGGAAACTTATCGCTACGTCGATTCGTAGTCGTTTAGTCACAAGACGACGCACGCCAAAGGACATCGACCGGAAGTTTTGGAATTCGGTCGAACGTTCCAAATATCGTCGACAGCTACGATGGCAACGTTGGCAGTTAGCGAGCGACATATTCCTCACGACATGCCTGGTGAGAGAACTCGACTCGTCGGGCGAGACGGTGACGGATTTACGAATCCATCGTCGACGAAGAAGTAGGACAGAGCTTTTGGAAAACAACGTCGTCGTCGTCGTCGTCGTCGTCGTCGTCGTCGTCGTCGTCGTCGGCGTCGTCGCGCTTCGACATTCAAGCATACATGTACGCATCCCGTGTTTGTCTGACGCTTTGTACATATATGTATGTATCTATACGCGCGCGCACTGGTATCAAACGTATGAAACTTACGGCCGTATTAGCAGCAACGCTTTAGTGTAACCTAGCGTATTCCGCTTTCGAACTTTGCCGGAGTTTCGACGCAATATTTCCGACGAACTCGGCAAAGTTGATACGGGCGCATCGTACGTCGTATTGTTGCGTCAAGTCATACAGCGGGAAACGCGCCGCGCCACGCTCGTTCGGTCGACTCGCCAACTTTGGTCATCCATTAGCCGCGCTTAACTTTTTAAGCAAAGCTAAAACATACATCGATGATGCATGTAGTTCCTGATTATTAAGATATTTGAAATACGCGCGGCTTGCAGAGGTCTCGCGGTGCAAAATCCTGATGTATAATAACGCGTGCGCGAACGTACAGGAAGAAACGGGGCTCGAAAAAAAAAAGACGAGTCCATGGACGACGCTTTAAATACCACTTTGGAACAGGACCGTTTTGCATTTCGAGAGTTATTTCGCGTGAATAGTAGAACGAGGTGCCGGAATCGTTATCGTTGATTACAATTGCAAAGTTGGGAGGAGTCCGGCCGAGACAGCTAGGGCCAGGAAGGAAGGAAGGAAGGAAACGACGAAGGGAGCTCGGCGTCCGAACGCTCTCGGATACGCGCACGGTGCCGAACTGCGAGACGGCGGCGAATCTTTTGTAATGTAGATCGCGGGACGATTTTAACGACGGTTATACCCCTTCGAAAGTGTGATAAACAGTCTGCGTGCACCCACGTTGTAGATGCATACAACGGCTCGAGGCGGTCCTCGTGCCGCCCATGGCCGACTTCGGGACAGAGCGACGCGATCTGGCGCAACATAAATTGCCAGCTCGTATATACTTGAACATTCTTCCATGGCCGGGTATTATAAAAGTTCTCGCGAAACTTTATCAATTTTACGGATACGCCACATGTACTAGGAAAAAAAAAGAAATGAGAGCTCGTTTGCCATCCTTTTCTCTTTCTCCTTTTCTCTCTTGCTTTGCCCGCTTGCTTTGATCGCTTTTACGTATATATACGAGCACACATGTATGTACGTTTTGTATCTTTATACAAGTAACTACGTACACATTCGAATTCATCTCGTTTGCACAAACAAGAATATTATCGGGCATAATAATGTTTTTAAAAACTGCCATTAAATTTTTAATTTTAATTTTATCGAAATATCGGAAAATACTCGAGGATATATATATATACATTAAACACTATAAATTTGTAGAACAATGGTATTGTTCAGTGCTCTCTGCACGAGTTACACGCATCCGTTTTCGTTGGAAGACAGAAGCTACTGCAATGTGGCAGGGCGGAGAAATTCTCTCGTCTCGGCAATCTTGAAAAATTGATACCATAGGCCGTCTCGCCTAGGCTTTATCGGAGTAACGGGCAACTAAACGTACCATTTTATTGGATCCTACGCTCCAGTACGCTGCGAATACCGAGCGGGGTCGAGGCGTTCTTGGTAGTCGTGCGTGAATCTCAATCGTGGAACCGCCGTGGTGAAACAAAATAGGTTTCCCGTCTGCCGTCTAACTCGCCGGTTCACGGAGATTTGCTCGACCGACACACAATCCCGTGATACCAAAAGTTGGAGGCACAGCGTTGTCCAACAACAAACATGGCGGAATTGTTGATCCGTGTTTGCTCCTTCAACGTGTAGCAGCATGCGTAGTTATAATATCTGCAGCATCCGGTGCATAGTTATACGGAGTACCTGCAGGTCTAACGTCGCCACGAAATTTGGAGCTTCTTTTTGCGCGAGCACAAAACAGCGCTTAGACAGAAGTTTGTTTCGTTGCACAAGTTTCAAGTACTTACACGAGCGCGAAAACGTTGGCAATTAATAATTCAGTTTCTAAATCACTTGAAAATGTTGGAATGGATCTTTCTGTCGCTGACAAATATATCTCAACTATAAAATTGATATCTCATTATACAGTTAACTCGCGTAATTTATTCGCGCTGATTTTGTCGTTGGCGTTCCCGTCAAATTGCAGCGCGAAACGTACGTCACAGTGTTCAAATATCCTGTAATTTCCGCAGAAATGTACAAAGCGTGGACAAACGCGACGTTCTCGTTACTTTAACCCCCACACCTCGCGTAATCGGGGGACATTGCTTGTTGCAAGCGTGAAACAAACGACGCGACTGGAAAAAAGAGCGGCGGGTCGAGCGTAGAGTGAGGTCATTTCAAAATGAAACCCCCCCTTCTACGCTGAAACGCGAGAAGCCGGCGATACAAGTAGAAAAAGCTGCAGCCATCGTGCCATTGCCAGCCAAACGAAACAATATGAGACTTCGGAGTTCGGAATGACGGTATAAGACCACTGAACGAAAATAAAACAGTATTGATAATATTCCCCTCGAGACTGATAAAAGATAAATGACTGTAATCATTAAATTTGAATGTTGAAATTGTGCGGATAATTCAGCGTCAAATAACGTTTGTTTCGCTAAATATTCAATGAACATTAAAGAACCATCGCGTAACTATTTGCTCGCGGACATTAATTTGATGATTCGGTGGTAATATAAACATCAGCAATCCACTATCGCATCGATCTCGGTAATTCGCAAGAACATTCGGAAAACCCATTTATTTATGCCCTCTATGCTGATATGATACCATTTGGAAACTTAGTAATATTGATTTATTTACTCCATATCCGTAATGTACTCAATCCGACGGGGCAGTTTATATTTTCTGGCACGT